TCGCATGCAGCCCGCGCGTGGTCCTTGCTAGGACCCGCATCAGGTGGCACAGACGATCCTCAAAAAGGAAGAGAACAAACCCGTTCTCTGGAGAGCATATAAAATCGTCAACGAATGGCTGAAGGTCGCTGAGAATCGAGTTCTGAAAGAGCTTTTTCGTCATGGGACCACACAGATAATTAAAGATGCTTGTGAGAATGATGAAGAAGTTCAAGTTTTAAGGGGTGAAAAGGCCTAGTTGTAGTCCATACATTATGGACCGATCCCTATGACTTCCTTAACGCCATGTATCAATAAAGCGCTCAATGATTTTCATAAGCAACAGAGGGAGATCGACCAGCTCCTTGTTAAAGATGCGGTGAAGGTCGAGATGATGAACTGGTTGGCCAAGAAAGGGCCAAAACCGTCGATTGAGTTGGAGGAAAACGTGCCATGCGCCGAACGCCACCTAGAAGATGGCTGGGCATGGGCAGCGTGGCATGGCGAGTCTACGATAACCTGCTGATTGGAATAGACCGAGCTACTATGGATCAGGACCGTATGGGCCACAGAAAGTGTCGGCATGAGTGGTATATATACAAGATTAAAGATACTACACAAGATTTGATCGGATTTGGTTAGATACGCTAGATTTTGATGACAATGACCGGTTGAACAGCCGTATGATATATGGCTGGGACAATTCGGCTGTCACTGTCAATGCATGATATGACTTTTAGTTCTTGATAGGCATAACAAGAGGCATTACTAGAGGGATAGTAGGGAATCTTCTGGAGCATATTCTGCAGTGTGTGTTGCTGAGAATGAACGCAAACTTATATATAATCCGACGAGCTGGCAATGTAGGCGACTCTCGGTCTGTAACTTGTTTTGGTTACAGCCGCTGCAGCCAGCCAGGCCTCCTTACCGGCTGAGGAGAGGAACTGCGAGGCCAAGTGAGCACCCCTTTCGAGGGAGGGACTCAGGTCCTATGTGCGACTGGCATGAGACGATCGGTCTGTACATCTCTGGCCGTTTCATTGATCGTATTCGCCCCCATTTTGACCAGAATCAAGTCGATTCTTCACTGCTGCCCTCCGGAGAGGTCTGGCCATGGCGTGGCCACGATCTTGTCAATATTAAATTCGCTTTTTGAGTGACTTTCACACACGCTCTAAGACGGGGTCCAAAAATGTGAGTGTGTTATCCCAGAAGGAATTGGAGTCCTTGGACTGCAACAGAACGTTTGAGTTCCAATGCTTTCAAACCAGCTATAGATCAACCACCTAGCTGTGGCAACCTGAGGACAATGATGCAATTTGTTTTCCGCCGAAGCCCAAACCCCACTCGCTCCACCACGTCTGCTTCTTCGTGCCCAGGCAGGAAAAAGGGAGCGCGAAAGCCAAGACATCCCACAAATGTCCGATACCCTTCGATTTCGGACAAGAAGGTCATCAGGGTTTTAGTTTTTTTCGCATCAGGGTTTTAGTTTAACCTCACATCGGACAAGCCTCCAGCCGAATGACCTTGAAAGGACGGAATAATGTAGGACGCGTGAGCGAACTCCGGCGTCTGTCCGCCGCCACGCTGAGCGTCATCCCGTCCGTCTCGGGTCAAAGCGGCAGTAAATCCGCACACCGCCAACTACTGCCAACACAACGTCGCTTTAGACCGGCGCGCAATAGGCCTGGCGTGGGTCCAGGCGGTCATGCGCAAGGCGCTGGAGTCCCATCGCGCGGCCCATCGACACAGGGCGAGCCTCGACGGCCGCTACGCCGGCGGGCAAAGGGAAAAGGGCGATGGCGCGCGGTCCAACGGCTGGCTCGCTGACGCACGGCACTTCTCGCGCAGTAGCGGCCAGCTGTCGTGAAGGATGCCGCCAGTGAAGGCCGTGTTCAACGGCTGAGCTCCGCCTCCCATCCCCGAGACACCCATCCAACTGAATGACTTTGTTAGTGGACAACCTTCCGCTTGCCAGAGTTCTGCAGCCGCGAGGGCGATTGTGTCCCGAGCTGAACCCTCGTGATCTGACTGCGAGCGGTGCAGTGGGAAGGGAAGAAAAGATCAGAAAATCTCGGCAGCCAATCGAGGAGACCCCACCAAAGAGAAAACATCAAGAGGCGCCCTTGGATCCATGAGGGCGGTGGTGCCGATCTGACGGCCGTCCGTAGGTTACATACATCGCTGCGCGTCGCGCGTGCGCCAGCGGCACCCCACACACCTCCACGTTGACCCCCGAGGATGTCGAGGCGGCGCTCCGGCGGCGTCACGACGGCTGAAGGAGTCGCGACGGGTGGACCGTCCTTTGATGCACCGTTCGCCGCGGTATTTGTCCTGGTCCTGGTCCGCAAGCTGTGACTGTCGGTGCGCCTGGGGTGTCGCGCTCCCACTCTCGTCATTAATGATGCGCATTGCATGATGCCCAAATAGAGGCTCCCGCAATGTACGATGTACCTTAGCAAACATGAGCCCTTCACACGACGACGGGTTCATTTTAGATCTCCATGAATTGCAAATCTCACCTGCGCATGTTGTGTAGGAAGGCGGCTGTCTACGGCCTGGCGCGGACAGGCCGGACGGCTGCTGCAACTTGAGGCTCTCGGTGTGGACACGTTCGACATCAGACAGAGTCACCCGTGCCATGAAGGGCGCCCGCGAACCCTGGCGCGTTTTTAGGGTTTTCATGTTTCTGTAATTCACCGTGATCTGTGATATGAAATGAATACTTTCTGCCAAAGGCAGCACAGCGCAATGGTGACGCGCATTTGCAGTGCAGTCACGTGGAGGTGTCGTCCACGCATGCTTCGTACTCTTGCATCCATTGGTAGTTGTTTTTGGCTGCATTCTTTATTTCGCAGGTTGCAGCCGTGGCGCTGCCCCCCTGTCCGTTTTCAACGCCGCACATGTGCAACACAATGCGAATGCAGACTGGAGGCTGGGCGTCAGCAGATCCGACACCCTTGTATAGCCCACAAGCCTATGCCAGACCGTCTTTGTTTTCGTGCAATGCTATTTGCAGCCTGGTAGCCAACAGACGCCCCGGAATTCAGGTGTCCATCCACAGTAGTGCCCAGAAGCAACTATGAATAAAATTACATGAAATGTGGAGCAAATGTGCGGCCCACGAATAAAAGTAAATCGATAGATACAGACACATCGTTTTCCCCCCATCTCCGCTTCGGTGATATCACAGAGCAGTCGGTGTGCCACCCTCCGGCTCCCATCTGCACCTGAAACAAACCCATGCTGGGAGCCAAGCTCAGGTCAAGCAGACGGACCAGGCGGCGTGCCTGGTGCCAAGAGAATGCCCCCCTCTCATCACATCTCACAACACAACTCTCCAACGCAATGCGATACCTCACTCTCGATGCGAGGGGGGGTTCCCAGTCGAGAAGAAACAAGTCCTTCTTCCATTTTCTGCTATTCACTTTTAGTTAAGCGACGGACGTGACATGTGGACCTTGCACGATCATAGGTCACAGGCGCATGGGCAAGCCATCAGCGATGGCCCATCACCTCATCGGCCCAGGTCGTCGCATGCTCTGGCTCTTCATCGCCGGCAAGGTCCAAGGTCTCTGCTGTGTCTTGTCAAGGCAAAACTCAACAAAAGAAATTTGGGCATCGAGTTTTTGAGGATGCGTCATGCATTTGCTACAACCAATCCTATCCCTTGTAGGAATTCACAAGGGGATGGGAGGATTGGCAGCCCATGCAGCAGAGCCTTCCCCTGCCCTCGCCACCCTCGCATTGCTGCTGCCTACTTGCACCTTTTCAGCACCAGGTCCAGCAGTAAGTGCAGGGCATGGCGGCACTCGTTCGCATGGCCTGTTTCCGGAGGAGGTAGCCTATCGATCTGGCAGTTGGAGCCCCACACAGAAGAGAGGCTGTGAGTGAAGGTTGTCCATAGTCAATTCATCCGATAGTAAATTGGCAATGCATGACACCTACTGCCCTTTGCCTTCCAAGGCAATGGTGGTCACAATTCGATCCAAGCTGTTTGTTCAAGACAGCTTGTTCATGCTTCCTTCATTCATGAGAGAACCATTCCAGAAAGGGCAGGTCAAGGAACCCTTTTTTTCATCCCTACTGCCCAACGTCTCTGCCCTTCTGGCAGTTGCAGTTATCAATCTGTGCCATAACGAATCGCAAGCACTTTAGTGCATAGTGTATGCTACATCCCGAAAACAAAGTTCGGAAAGCTTACAGTTTCAGCGACGACCACATGGCGCATTTCGATGTTGGCAGGTGCAGTAAGAGGTTGAAACTATGCCACACGTGCTGATCAGGGCTTGCTATTCTGCATCCCTTGCTCGTTGTTTCACGGAATCTTCAAAAGAATTTTGGAAAAGGATTTGTTGCTTCACTTTACCCGGCGATGGCTATCCAGTTATCTGCATTCCAACCACCTGTTATCACTGTCAATCAGAAGGCTGTACAGTGTTCCATGAAAACTGCAGGAACTACAACATGGTTGCGTATGCATATGTGCATTCATATACACCAGTACTCATATTGGTGATATGACTTTTTCTGCTGCTGGAGCAATGGCTTCTGTGGAACAAACCCATCAGGACTGCAACATGGACAGTGCCCAAATCATTAGCCTTCCTAACAACAGGAAGGGCTCTGGGCGAGTGGGTATAAATTCAGCTTCCCTCACCAACCTTGTAAAAACCGAAGGTCTATCAACTTATGTTCCAATTCAACAATACCATCACTCACACATTCAACTGCCAATCTTTGTGATCACATAATGCTGCTTTGGCAAAGGACATTGCCTGTAAGGCCTTTCCTGCAACAAAAGGAAGAAAACTGCACACTCCCAAACATGCATCGCCTGACTGTTCAAACTACCATTCGGACTGTCCCCTGGGTGACCGTACATTAGTCTTTTCTCCGCACAAACAACCACAAATGCAGACAGCACACCTGAACTCTTTAACGAAATGTAATGCGTGTTTTGGAATACAATAATTCCTCTGTGAAGTACAAATCAAACACACAATACCATGTATCCTCTGTCACACTGGTGCACTCACCGCATCAGCAGCCTGACAGGCGTGGTGTTTTGCAAGCTCCCTCGCCCGCTGGATTCCACTACTGTTCTCCACCATTCTTAGTGCCTGCCACACACCGTGCGCACCATAAGACCAAGGATAGAAGAATCTAGAGAGTCTGGCATACAGGACCTGCAGCAAGGTGACCTGGGGGCATGGATAATTGGCTGTGCAGCCTTCATAGAAGCAAACGCAAGTATCAAACAGCGATACAATCACAGAAATCAGAAAGCAAGCACTTCGCTGCTAATGATTCTGACCTCTTCTATGTCACCAACGTCTTGGAACTTTCTGCAAATCAATGGTGCCAATGCAGGGAAATCTTCAGCAGCAAACAACACCTGCAAAACAGCCAACGCAACAACTCAGTGCACCATCCTGTTGCATTCAACGAATTGCATCTCTCATACCTGTGGCACATCGGGGGTGGAGTTTGCTCTTTGGTAAAAGAGAACACTCAGGCTGTGTGCCTCAAAGCAGAAAAACTGAAGATCGATTACTGCAACACAATGGATTCTGCTTCATATCCAGAACACAGTGAGCATCACAAGGAAAGTCCCACTGAAATGGCATCCTATACTTTAGGGTGCGTCTGAATGATTTGTATGCCTGCTGCAGGCACTGCTGGAACAGGTACAGCGACAAGCAGATTGTTCTGTCACTCGTCAGTACCACGTGTTTTTTGGTAAAAACATTCATAAGCCACACAGAGAACACCCCAAGTACCACATACTGTCCCTAGCATCGCCAATTTCCAGCAAGCGCTGCACTTTGCTGCTCCAACTGCAACAACAGCATGTGTCATTGCTCATTGCAGGAATCATAATATCATCACAATCAGAATGCAGCCCATGGTCAACTGCAGCCAGATGGAGTCAGCCTTACAGGTGCAGTGGCAATTCCACTCTTCAAGTCGTTCAATGCAGGCTTCCCAAGCATGTCACTGCTTGCTGTGAAGTCCAGAATATCATCAACAACCTTCAAAGAAACCCAACACTCTTCAGCCAACAATCCCTGCTACCTGACATGCCGCTACGGGCAAAGGAAAGTGCTCACGATTGACAATTGTAATCAATTATACGATTCCTGCTATATTATTGATTGATCATGAATCTGCTGATGATCACAAGGATTAATCACTATCATGTACTGATTGTTACCATACTACAGTCTGTCAGTAGATCATTCTACAACGCGCCATCTCATTCAGTTGTCCTATCATCGTTGACAGCAGCATCATTTGTTCAAACACATTCAACGACAAAGAATGCAGATTGCTGCTGTATGTGGAATGGTTCCGCTTTGCCACATGCACCAGCGATGCTGGCACACAGCCGGGATACACGATTTGCACCAGCCACGACCTTCTGCGCCAGGGGATTATTGTTTTCATTCTCTATTTGCCTTTTGCAGCTGTTCATTTCCATTCGTATCTGTGTAGACAACATCTGTCCAGCCGTTGGACATGGGCATGATTGGCTGATGAGCATGGGCCAATCACTTGACAGCGACTTTGCTGCACTTTGCAATGAACAACAGTAGAAAGGTCTGCAGCTCAGGCAATGTGACAAATGAGGTGGGATGGTTCTTTGTGGGGACAGGTTGCACAAGTGCCAAGTTGCTGACCTCAAGCAGCATCTTATCAGCTTCGCAGTCATATGGTGTACATGGCTGCGTACCTGCACAACTCCAAGGCCAAAGGGAACATGACGGATGACTGCACAGCTGTAACCACGATTGGTAGCTAGCCAGCCATTTTGCATACCACAATGCACAAATCCACTCCATTGTGACTTGACAATGGTACCAGTGTGTGGAGCAACTGCCACATACATCGATGAGTCCTCTAGAAGGATGGAATCGACACAACATGTACATCCATGCATGGTACTTGACAAGCTTCTTTTGTGAGCCCACCTGGAAAGCCATCCCTAGATGCCTACCAAAGTCAGAAGCCAAGTTGATGACCTGCGGTCACCAAGGCACAGAAGCATTTGTAACTGTCCATGTGCAGGTGCAGTTCTAGTTTGAGGATGCTGGCAAACAGTGACATCTGGCCTCTTGGCATGCAATTCTAGCGCAGTCTGTTCCCTCCTCAAGTTCATTTCAGAAGTTTAGCAATGGCTTTGAATATCAATGCAAGAAAGTATTACAGACACTACTAACAAAGGGGTTTCAGGACAATGACAGGGCAACCTATGTGTTCTTGCCCCTCTTGTGTAAAATAATCTGATGTGCATCGAAAGGGGCATCAGCCAATTTAACAATGCAACAGACTGATATCGTTCCACAACATGCAGTAGATTAATTGTCCAAACAAAGCAACATGTCATTCAATGAACACAGTCCCTTCTGATACCATTCAACAGTCTGCAGGCTGCATACTCTTGAAAATCAAATACTCCATTCAGAAAGGTAGATGGTTGCAACAAGGAACCCAAATCGCCTAGACAATTTGACAGTATGCAACATTGCAATATCACGCTGTGTGGAATTAACTCTATGAGATAAAAGTTGCAAGAGAGGGTTCAACCAAGCTGACTGCTAGGAACACTGCCTGGGTATTTCTTGGGCCCACCTCTCGACTGTGCCCCCCCAGAATGGCAGCTGATTTTGCACTGTTCGACATCATCGCTGCTGTCTTCCGGTAAGTCTTCATTTTGTAATGGTCCATCCGCATTAAGTCTTCGGGTGCTGAGGTCATCTGCAAAAGGCAAAGTGGCACAGCATTGACCACGTGCATCGACACCAGGCACAAGATTCATGGTGTGAGAGAGAGACGCAGCAAAAAGCACAAGCCATCCCTGGCCTGCCAAAGGGCAATCGTGGCATAGGGTTTGGCATCAGGCACTGTGCTGAACAAGGTGCTTGGAAATTCTGATTTGTTCTCCCATGCTCAACAGCACCTTGCAACGGCCCGGCACGCATACAATGAAGTACATTAGGTGCATGGTGGCCAGATTTACCTTGTCTGCTAGCTCATCTAACTAGTGCATTTTTCAGCTTGGGAGATGCCACAATCCAGAGTTGAAACCGCAGATAAAGACAACTGTTCACACTTGATGGTTGGCAGCTGCAGTGGGCATGCACAGGAAAAAATCCCAAGATTGGTCACAATGAATGTGACCAATGCACCACTTGGACTAAGATTGACAATGACAATTTTTCCTTTTCAACACTGGGAAGAGAGTGTGACTGATTTCTACATCATCCTGAATTTCTAATCAGCATACTTGTGCCCAATACTAAGCAATCTGCCTACACACCTTCACAAATCTATTCAAATCCAGCCAAACACATACCTAGCTACACAAACTAGTTGATCTAAACTACCTATATTCATTTTGTGTCACCCAAGGCCCCCAATCTCATCGTTGATCGCAATTCTGCCTCCACTTGCAAAATGGCTAACAACCTGTTCAATTGATGCCAGAGGTGCACGTTGCCGGCAAGAGTGCTGGCAGTATTGATCAGACTTTCAGTTCTTGTTTGCACAACAACATCTGCCCCTGTAGATGAGAAATGGACCCAGCACTTGCCCAAATGGTATGGTGGTCAATGGCTGATTTGGAGTGCCTACCCACAACTTTTGTCACAACGCGACAAACCACTCCTCTTCGACCCAGCAAGCAGGCGTCCACCCTCAAATCCTGTTCCCCTTCCCTTTGCCAGTCCGCAAGGACAATCGCCTTTCTGTTTGCTGGGAACCCAGCCGCACTGTCCAAGCAGCCTACATGCCCCAAAGTTCGCAATGCATTGAATCCCATGGCCAGCAACAACTTGACACACACACACACACACACACACACACACACACGCACACAGAAGAGGGCCCGCTATGTGGTTGCTTAGGAAGGGGTGCCCCTTTGCATCGCCTCTGTATTGGGGTACTTGATGTGCGTCTTGAGACACGCACAAGCACCCAGGGCAAGGTCGAAGAGCAGCCCCACCTGCATGATCTCGCCCGACACCAGGTGCTCCAGCACCTGCGACATCAGCATGATGACCTCCGCCTCCCGCAGCGCCGCCAGCGACACCGACGCCCGCGCCAGCAGGAAATCCCCCGCCAGGATGGCCAGCTTGTTGCCCACGGCCACGTTGAGGCTCTTCTGCCCCCGCCTCGTGGCGCTGCCGTCGATCACGTCGTCGTGCAGCAGGCTGGCCACGTGCATCACCTCCGTGATCTCCGCGATGCGCTGCTGCCGCCGCCTCACCTCGGGCGTGGGCGCGCTGGGCGGCCGGGGATCGACAATCAAGTCCTCCGGCGAGGGCGGGACTGGCGAGAGGGCCGATGAGAGCAAGAGCAGCATGCTGGGTCGCACGCGCTTACCCTCCGCGCCCACGCGTAGGAAGTACTCGGCCGCGCGCGCCAGGGCGGGGATCTCGGACACGACGTCCCGGCGGATGCGCTCCGACACAGCGTCGATCTCACCGCGCACCAGGACGAAGGGGTCGGTGGGGTCGGCCGGCATGGCCGCATCCCCGCCGCTGGGGCTCTCCGGGGCGACCTGCGGGCCATGACGAGCGGATCGTCGTGAGGGGCGGGAAACACCGCGGGAAACAAGTGTCACACTCGGGGGAAGGGACGAAGCTGTGGCGGCCTTTGGCGGGGATGGCGGAAGCCCTGATAAGGAAAGAGGGGGGTAAGGGGGACTTGGAGGAGGGGGAGAGGCGGTTGATGTTGTGCTGGGACTGATCGACGCCCGGGGCTGTTGTGAATGGTTGCGGTCGGGAAGTCGATGGGGTGCTCAAGGCTGACGGCTGAACGGGCGGGGAATGGGCATTGGGGAGGGCTGGGCCGTGGATGGAGCGCTGGGGGGGTGTGATCCGATCGAGGGGGCTGGGGAGGGCCGGGGCGGGGCGTCGGAAACATCCCGGCCCTGTTTGGGGCGACGCCTCGCGGCGCTGGCGGGTCTCAGGCCAGGACAACGCACCTGGGCGACCATCGTCGACAGGCGTCGCGCCCCATCTGCAAAGCCGCCCGCAAAATCCGGTTAGAAAACGGGGGAGGATGCATTGGGAGGCGGCGGGTGCGCAAGCCGAGGAGAGGCACCAAGGGGCCGCCGACCTTGGATCGCCCTGGGGCATGAGCGGCCGTCGCCAAATCCACGCCCAGCTCGCCGTAGGAGAAACATTCGGGCCGCCGCGGCGCTCTGGCAGCGCTACGATCGGAGGTGTGGTTGTGGAGAGGCGTATGGGGAGCGGGTGCGCCGGCGCGGGTCGCCGCAAGGCGCCCCTTGCGAAGGGCGTGGGCTGCGGGTCAGGAGGGGGGGAGTGTGGCGTGTTTGGCGAAAGGGGTTGCCGCTTCCACACAAGGGGAACAGTGCACTCGTCAGGCCAGTGGGTGGGGGCGGTGGAAGGGTGTGTCATGGTGGAGTCATTGCTGCAAAGGGCAGGGGGGGGCAACCAAACCAACTACAGCGTGATTGTCACATCCGATCGGTGTGAATACCAGAAGGCAAGAAATGATGGACACTTGTCCCAGGGCGGCCCGAAATTCGCCCCCGTGGCCATCAATGCCATATGCTTGTCTGCCAGTGAAGATGACCATGTGGAATGTTCATGAGGGGTGGCAAAATGTTCATAAATATGCTCAACCTTTTCCAGGCTGCAGGCTGCAATCTGCAGCCCTAAACTACGGTTGAGCATGTTAATTAACCAGTGTACCGTGCAGCTGCACCTGTGCAAAACTTACCAACTGCAACAGATATTGTTCCAATGGCACCCCAATTGTATTTTGGGCATATTGCACAGCCTGTTGTCCATTGGGCCAACAATTAGCTACAAAGCAAGAGGTGCACTATTACATTCCAGGGGTGCCTCGGCCCACTCAAAGCCTTGTCCCACAAATACAGCTCACGAAGCACCGAATGTTTTGGCTTCATTGCTTCACAAGCCGTCGGTCCGTATCCACTGTCTCAATGCCTTTAGCATAAATTGTACTTTCGCTTCAACATTGGTGTAAATCATTGGACGTCGACATCCATTTCACCGACCGTCTCAGACTTTCTATCAGTTCCTTAAGCATGTAAACGTTTCATGTCATTCCTTTCACAAAAGGCGGTTTGACTTTGAAAATTCTATCTGTGAATAGCAGTGATCTGCAACCCTCACAGTGTAGTTGCACACATCCTTAAGGCCGTTGTTTGCAAATCGGCCACAAGTACAAGCTCCTGATCATTCTGTGTTGTGTTGGTGATGGTACATTGTGCATATTTTTCAGATTTTGGAGGAGACACTGCACAACTTGTTTTTGAATAAGTGATATTTGAGATATGGCATTTGGTAGAACATGATGATTAATATTATTGACGTTCAATTTATTATGTCTCTGTCCAGAAGCCTTTTTACAATTGTTGCCTTGCTGGAATTTTGCAAACATAATACCAAATACAATGATTTGTGGATATAGTGAACACCTTTGAAAATTAGGATTTGCCAAGGAGATTGTTGCAACAACATGATATTATAATAAACCGTGGCCTTTCCCATGTGTTGGCAAAATCATTGCTATGGTTTGGATGCTCCAAAATATTGGCCACCTACTTAGTGCAACATACAATACACACATAGCTTTGCATCTTCAACCATCACTCAGGCAAAGCATAATGACCGTGCACAAGTTTTGTTTATTGCTAGTGGAACAACACGTTTCGAGTCCAATGCTTAGGGGAATCTGATGATCCAACAATGCTAGTGGTATGGGGCGCCTACCCTCTTTAAGCCACTTACCTGCCTCGCTGGGCACCTAGGTCCTTATGGGCACCTAGGTGGGACCACCCCGGCCCACTCCTGTATCGTATAATAGTATAAGGTCCATTTTGGGTTTTGTTACCGTATTTTGGTATAAGGGGAACTCGTGCTACATTATACATTATGAGCTAGTTGGGAACATTGTATAATAGGAGCACTCGCTTGGGAGAAAAGCGCAACGCATTGTACAATATAGGCCTTCACGGGAGCATTGTATACTAGAGACACCAGGGTCGGGATTTGAGAGGGAGTAGTGCCAATTGGAAGTGATAGTTTGGGTGTTTTTAAATACCGTGGGCAAAAGGGGAAAATACCGGTGGGAAAGCACCGTGTTGGTCAGCACAGTAGGAATAGGTCTTGGTAACCAACGGGTTGGTGAACGGAAGAACAAGGGACATATAAGTTTGAATTGAAACTTGGCGAGTATACCAGAAATAGGATGACTCGCCCTATTTCTGGCATGACCCTTGGGATCTCTTGGGAGTGGGTATACATACAGGCACACCGGACCAATTTGTATTCGAAATTGTTGCCCAGTTACGACCCGATTGGTACCTAACTCGAACAGAAAAAACGGGCCGTTTCCCATCCCACCAAAAAGCAATCTCGCCCTTTACAACTGGTTTCTGATTCAGCGAAGCGGCCGGTGATGAAGCGGTGCTTCGAGGAGACCTGTACCACGTAGTGGTGCCAAGAGGGGAAAAGAACCCCAGACCAGACTCCAAGAGCCTTTAAATACTGCACCCATCTCTCGTAGTACACCGGCTGGCAACCGGCGGGTCACCCTGATCCCTGATGACTCATCCACTGCTGGAAGTCATCTTACAGTGCCAAGTACTCCCGTACTGTGGCCTGCCTAACTTTCCCAAGGATGGGATGATTTAGAGATGCCATTGCCAATCCAGGCACTCTCCTAGTAAAGTACTAGAAAAATGATAATAATATGAAATGTAAAGACAATGCGCATTACAGGCGTCCCTTTCCGGGGAAGACTCCATCCCGGAGTTGAGAAGACACAAAACAAACAGAAACACATATCGCACAAAACAAAGGCATGACATATACAATACAACCTAACCATGGGTCCACTGTAAAGAGAGGGTTTGTCACCCACAAGCATCTGGTGCCTAATGTTGGCGCCTGATGAATCCCAATCAGAGGGCCATAGAACTGGCGGTCATAGTCTGTCTGCATATCAACCCAAATCCTCAAATGAGGCCTGCATCACGGTGCTGGACGAGGGGCGCCACGGCCACGGCCGCGACCACCATCTGAACCTGAACAGCCCGTAGTGCGAGGGGTCCACCCTGTAGCTAAGTCTGCATCCTGAATGCAAATGCACACTGTGTGTCAGCCTGAGAATACTCAAGTCATCACTCGAGTCCATTTCTGGCCACCTCTGCATCGGCGACCAATCGCAGGGCCGGATCCAGACGATTACTGCTACAAGTCGTAGGCTTGTAAGAGCTCATTGCAATGCATCAGTTTCTGTACAGGCTCTCATGTAGACGTGGCCCCCTAGTTTTTTTATTGTTATTTTACTTCTGTAACTTTTTTGAACTCAAACAGTCTGTCCGTCGATTTTCTGTCACTTTGCCGGGGCCGGGTTTCCATAACCGTTCATGCCACGTCAGCTTTCAATTTTTTGGCTCTGGAGCAATCCGTCAAGGGGGTGTTTGCAGCCAGCGGTTTCTGTAAAAGCATTTTTTTCCGCTGCCTTTCCTGGCATTCCGTTGCCATCCGTCAGGGACCTTGAGATTCCGGTAGTGTTCCGTTGGTTAGCGGCGGTTTCTGTTGGAGGCAATTTTTTCCAAGCGGATTTTTTCTTTGTGTCCAGCAACCTTTGCCTCTAGATTCGGGCCACAATATTGACACAGCGAGTTCCAATACTTCAACATGTTTAAACAATGCATGTCTACCTATTTGCAATCCACGCTGTTATAAATAAATACGCATGAATAAATAAATATATATTAATACTGCCTCGGTCGGTACTCCTTGCTAGACAGGGGACGCAACCCGTTGTTCTTTCCCGGCCATCCCTTGCAAATGCTTAACTACTATTATAAACAAGTGATCCCCCTCTGCTTTTCCCAGCCAACCCACAACCGGTACTCCTTGCTAGACTGGAGGCGCAACCCGCCATGCGCTAGAGCACACATGAACACCTACCAACACCCATAGTCCTAAGATGATCGCCCACTGCAGTAATGAATGGCTAGTAATCCTTTGCCAAATGGACACATTCACTCACAGCAACTATAACAAAATTTGTCATGGTACGTCATGTGATGCCTTGGACTTTGATGTGGTCTTCGATGATATCTTGGATGCTAGCTTCCTGTGCCCAATTGGATGCCTCGATATCCTAGTGCGTGCTCCCATTCTCCCTCTATGCTTCTTTTTCCATGTGCGGCAGTCTTCCCACCCTTGGCGTTGTATGTACCATCCCACCAACGACCCTCTGCAGCTAGGCCAGAAACAGCGGCTTTTTCCTAGCCAAGACACGGCTGGTATTCCAGCCGAGTAGAACAGCAATCCCAACCCCGCCTCGCCCTGACACGGTCTCGGACAAGTAGCAGCCACTCATGCACACTGCGAACCCGGCAACAACGGCTTTTTTCCCAGCCATACCATGGCCGGTACTCCAGCCGAGCAGAACAGCAATCCCCGCCCCACCCTGACACAATCTCGGACAAGCCACAGCCGCCCATAGACACTGCAAGCTTTGACAACAGTGGCTTTTTCCCGGCCAAGCCCAGGCAGGTACTTCAGCAGAGCAAAATAGCAATTCCCCGGCCCCACTTTGACATGATCTCTAAGAAGCAATAACCGCCCATGCACACCATGAGCCCAACAACAATGGCTTTTTCCCGGCCAAACCATGGCCGGTACTCCAGCGGAGCAGAACAGCAACCCCCTGCCCCACCCCAACATGATCTCGGAGAAGCAACAACTGCCCATGCACACCACGAGCTCAGCAACACTGGCTTTTTCCTGGCCAAGCCGCGGCCAGTACTCCAGCCAAGCAGAACAGCAATTCCCTGGCCCCACCCTGACACGATCTCAGAGAAGCAACAACCCCCCATGCACACCACGAGCCCAACAACAATGGCTTTTTCCTGGCCAAGCCATGGCCGGTAGTCCAGCCGAGCACAATAGCAACTCCCCGCCCCACACCAACATGATCTCGGAGAAGCAACAACTGCCCATGTACACCACGAGCCCAACAACATTGGTTTTTTTCCGGCCAAGCTATGGATGGTACTCCAGCCAAATAGAATAGCAACACCCCGCTCCACCCCGCCATCACCACTCACCTGAGGGCACCAACACCATGGGCGCAATTGGTGGCGGGCGGCCCCGACGCAGCATTTCACAT